ATTTTCATTGAGAGTCCCCTGTTATTAAAATATAAACCACCTTAAAGGGACCGTCTTTGTCTCATAACCCGTCCTTAGCCAAACGAGTTCACTAACGATGCACAGCTTGATTCATGTTTTTGAACTTAATGAATGTTAAAGGGATTGGTTGATTTTGACGCATTATGCAATTGAGTGTGGGTTTGGATCATAACAGAACATGGCTAAAGTTTTTAAGTAGAAGTCGTTCACCTCGCATCTTAGAACTATTAACTTGGACATTGAGCTTAATTACTTCATCACATGTTTTGGTTTTGAGTCCCCAACTTCAAACCTCTCTTCCCGCTTATGTTTTCTTGTTTGCTTGAGGGCAAGCAAAGACTAAGTTTGGGGGAGTTGATATGTCTATAATTTGCATGATTTAAGCATTCATTCTTCATCACTTTGTCATTGTTTCAATCACATTTCATCTCATCAGTAGTCGTTTTAGTGTGTTTTGCATACTTAGGACGTTTTTGCATTAGGATTGCATGTGCATTGCATATTTGGTTGTTTTCAGGTACTTTGGATGCTTTTGGAGTTCAAACAGAGGAGAAACAGAACAGAAATTTAGAACGCTCAATCACGCCTTCAGCCAAAGCACTCGATCGCAACCTCGGAGCCCTGACAGAGCAAAATCACTCGATCACAACCCCGGAGCAATTTCAGAAGAAACCACTCGATCGCAAGATCGAGCAGAAGCTGTCATGGAGGACATATCACTCGATCACAACCCCGGAGAAGCCAGAAGCTTAGTTTCACTCGATCGCAAGCCCGGAGGGATCACCTACTCTACACCACTCGATCACCACCTTGTCATCAGAAGCCCATCTACTCATTCTTCACTCAACCAGACAAGCTGAGCATACGGAAGAGAAGAGAAGCTGAAGAAACCACTCGATCACCACCTCACGTCATCTACTCGATCGCACCACTCGATCGCAGGGTCGCTGGACCATTCCATCTCGTCTTCACTACAGACCACTCGATCGCAAGACGGAGTTCCCGAAGCCCAGTTTGATCAGTTTCACTCGATCACAGGGAAGCCCATTTCAGCCCATCAGATGCTCGATCGCAGAGTCTCGTTGTGAAGACCACTATCCCGAACTTTCCTTATTTAAAACTTTTCTCGCTTATATAAGCAGCCTCGAAGGGTTTTCCCTAGGGCATCCAGTCTTTATTTTTCAGTTTTTACCTAGACTTGTTTTCGTAGCCGCAGTGTGTTCTTCCTGCGACTTTGTATTCGCTTTCAAGTATCTTATAATTCAGTTTTCGTTTCAGTCTTTATCATTTCCTGTTATCATGTTTTCAATCGTTTCATTGCTATTGTCTTTGATTATGTCTGAGTAGTGAACTGTATTTCTGAGGATGGGATAGAGTAGTCGTGGTTGCCTTAGTCGTTGTAGATGGTTGAGTTTAGATTGTTTGAATCCCTTCTGGATTAGTTGCGCTTATTGCTTGTTCCTTTCTGATCAACTGGAAAATGAATCCAGACATTCCCGCACCCAAAAGGTGTTTGATGGAATGTCTGATCTACTAATTCCAGAGATACTCGTCTCTATCCCAAGGTATTGGCCGTTTAGAGCGGGTATTGGCTTTAACAAGTTGATTCGATATTGCCTGCTTAGTTAGAGATCGCTAATGGTGATTAGGTCTGTGTCTAGCTCTGCTTGAGAATTTCTATCACGGTAGTGAATTGATTTGCTTTTGAACTTGTTGTCAAGGGATAGCTTCTGTGAAGTTTTGTTAACCGTCTAAATAGATTAAGGAGACCACGCTATTCGATTACCCTGTCCTTAGGAATCTCTCATCCATTTGATTGCCTGTTATCTTACCCGCTTTGTTATTCCACTGCCTGCTATTGCTAGTTTGCATTTCAGTTTCATTTTATTTCTTTTATTTCGCACTAGGACTGTTAGAATGTCTGGAACTAACAGCTATTGAGTGCAAACAATCCTTCCTGACATTCTCCGTGTATGGTCAGAGTTACATGTTGACGATCAAGCGCTTGGAAGGATTGTTTGGTTTCCCCAGTGGAACGGGAACCAAACCAAAGTTTGACAGAGGCGAGTTAAAGGACATGTGGCTCACCATCGGAAGCTCTGCACCGCTGAACTCTTCGAGATCCAAGATCAACCATATACGCAGCCCTGTTATAAGATACTTTCAGCGTTCAGTGGCTAATGTCCTCTACTCCAGAGAGATAACAGGGACTGTGACCAACTCTGATATGGAGATGATCGCTATGGCTCTCAGGGGTACTCTTTAGCAAACCAAGAACGGTTTGACTCTGCAAGGTGATTCAAGTGACCCAGCTCTAGCTATACTTTTTTTGATCCACCTGTGTGGATACAAGAAGTTGGCGATCACCAATAACAACAAAAGAGCGTGAGGTGCTCTATGCATAGGAGGTGTTGTGACACCAATTCTTATTGCCTGCGGAGTTCCAATCACATCTGACGGATTTGAACCAAGAGCAATGGACTTTGAGCATCTACATCACTGTGAGTTCCTCGAGTATGCAATGGTTGGCGACAAGTATCGATACCAGTTTGAGCATCCAACAAACAAAACGACCAACATCCTTCTCCCCTGCCCCTAAGCTACACGCATCATATAGGGAGACAACATTGACTTCAAGCCTGCAATCGACGACCTGTATGTCGAGAGCGCTCAGCCAATAGATGAGGATGTTCATGCAGAAGAAGCTGCAGAAGATGAGGTTGATGAGATGGATGAGGATAGAGAAGAGGAGTATGATACAAGCATGTATCATTTGAGCAAGCATGTAGCTCCAGCGAGGGAGAGTAAGAGCTTCAGTGAAGCTCACAGAAACCAAAGCCTGCTGCAGAAGTGGAACAAGAAGCAGGATAAGTTCATCGCCAAGTGCCTAAAGAGTATCAAGTCTCTTAAGGCCATGGTAAGTTATTCTTGTATGTGTAGGTTAGTTCTAACCTTTAGCATTCTACTAAAGCTCTATCCATTCATGTGAGTTCCTAGTTATTAAGAAGAACTTGAAACCATTTACAGAGGAACCATCTTTGTTTCTCAGCCTTACCCTTTACACAAATGAGTTCATCAACAATGTTTTGCTTAATTCACGGTTCTTACTTAATGAATGTTAAAGGGAAAAGGGGATCTGAAGGTATGTTTAGATCGAAGCAAATGTTAGGTTGTGTTGTGATGAATATGGCTAAGGTTTTTAAGTACAACTCAACTTCTATGCGTTCTACAATTGCTACCTTGGACATTGAGTTAGATAGGACTAGTCTTAATTGCTAAGAGTAGTGTCGCATGTAGTTCTAGTCCACGTTTTCTGGGCTAGATAGGACTAGGTGGGAACTTATTTTAGGATTGAGATCAAGTACAAAAGAAAAGAAAAAGAAAGAAAAAGGTTACTGTTTTTAGGAGAAGGAAGGTGAGAAACATGGTAGTCTAGTCATGAATTTTGGGGAATTGAAAATCGAATAAGTTAGGCTCTATAGCGAAAGAAGGCAAAAGCCTAGAAAAATTCTTAACTCTTAAGAAGATAACAAAAAACATTGTTTGTAAAGAGAACCCAAATCCGCTAGATTCATCAGGTATAAGAAAAACTGATCCTTAGAACAGAATCAAAGAAAAGAAAGAGTGATTTGATCCGAGAAAAAAAAAATGAAAAACGCATTGAGTGCAAATGGTAGAATTAGGATCATCTTCTGGGTTTAGAAATAGAATCATCTACTGAGTTATACACGTTTTGTGTCATTGGGTAGATACGATACTATTCTTGTATGCATAGGTTGGCACCTAAGTATTGAATGAATTGTTAAATTGAATAACTTGTAGAGTAATTTAAAAGTTTTTCACCTAGATTTGATTTAATAACTAGTTCTAGATTGATCATCTAGAATCTAGCTCATAGGATAATTAGTTGACACGAGAGTGCGCTTGATTTCCTGAAATAATCTTAGGTGAACAAAATATATGTTCACAGAGAGATCTGGTTTAGGGATTTTGTGAACAATCAAAATTAAACTTAATGCTTGTCTAATTCATTTAATTCTCAAAGAGATTTGGAATTTTAGTTTAGACTTTAGACATAGATAACTTCTACAACGAGAGTTGATTAGTTTTATAATTGAGTTTTGAGTTCACGAACGATTCTTAATTAAACCCTTACCTGTTGTTTGATTTGCTATTCTGATTTACGGAAAATATTTTCTTTAAATCTAGCGCCTTAATCCATTGAATTTACTACCGATTTACTTAATTGCAATCTTTAATTTTCAAAATTTCTTGTTTAGCAGTCATAAGTTTATTGCATGTACTAGAGAGATTTGTGGAATTTGACCCATAAATATTATAGTGACATCTCTAATTAAGAGACTAGTTTAAGGGTAATTTGACACATATCAGTTTTCATCACACCATTAAGCTTCAAGTAGAAAGAAAATTTAAGTATCACTAGTAGCTTAACTGGTAACAAAGAGTTTGGACTCACCATTGCCATCCCGTTGTCGGTTTTACCCTTGGCACAAACAACTTTGGAGAAGTAGTTATGCGTTAGGTGAAGAGAAAACGGTGCTCCTTTTACAAGGCCTTTGAGTGCTTCATTAGCCCATTCTGCAACTGTACACAAACATTGTGTCCAAATTTCTCAGAGGCAGGATACCGATTTCAATTTGATTATTTTAAACAACAAGTAAGAGAACATGTATCCATTTAAGGTGTCAGCTAGATCTTGCAGAAAGTCAAAACATGTTTGATTTCACCAAAATACACACACGTTATTATATAAGTGGCCACCTTAAAAGAGTAATGTATATGTTTATACCTGTAATCTTCAGTGCTCAGCTGGTACTTCTTCAGCTCTTCGATTGTTTCTTTAACAGACTTACTTTTGCAGTAACAGCTGATTTTATCTAAGGCAAAAACATTTTGAGGTGGGATTCAGATTCATGATCACTGCTGTAATTTGATAAAGTTGATTGGATGTCTTGATGGGGATCCTTGGAACTGTATTACCAACACATATGCTTTCTGAGAGAAAAAAAAAACAGAGTAATACTAAAACCTCCTATATCTGAAATATGCATATGTAATCGATCGAAATATGTCGAACAAAATAGTCTGCGAATGCCTACAGATCAGCTGACAAAATGGCTTCTTTTAGTGTGCCTAGCTTTCCAGATGCCTACATGTCTTTAATGTTTCCCAAGACCCACAAACAGTGCATCTGAAGGTGTGGAAATCCTTCTCCCAGTCATACCAAGGTAAGCACCTGCAGAATTTGAAAGTTGAGAAGTTGCTAGTGGAGAATAATACTACAGCGGTTGTTATGCAAATTGTATAGGGTCACAGCAGTTAGCAATATAGAACATACTTCCTTGTACAACAAATCTAACTGTAAGCAAAACTTGGGAGTTACTATAGCGAAAAAATTGGTTTTTCATAAGTTTGGTAAAGTTTGCCTAGAGAAGAAAAAACTGGCCTAGGCCAATTACCCTAATTCTTTAGAATATCCAAATGGAAAGTTAAGGGTACTATTAGGAATCTAGGATATGAACATACCAACAAATCCTCCGTCAGGGCTATGAGCTGCTATATATGAAAACCCAACATCTGGAAACAACCCGATTCCATTTTCTTGCATTGCGAGGACCGTCCTCTGAAAATGGATAACAAAACAATGACAAAGAAGGGAATCACTGAGAATGAAATGACAAAACAAACATTTCACGAACTCGTCGCTTCCACTGGCCATCACTGAGAATTTCCGGCGATGCGATACTGAGAGCTTAAAGAAGGGAATAACAAAAGATGAGAGGTTCTAGAGAAGAAGATGCGAGCAGAAGCCAGAGACAAAAGTCTTGATAATCACTGTCGGAGAAACCAAACATCAGTGACTTTGTTTTGTTCCCACCACCAAAATATTCCCACCACCAAGTTGAAGGGTCCACTAGTCTGGAGATATGTCGTTTGGCCCAATAATAGAGTTTTGTGTAATAATTCAAACCATTATCTTTTTTTTTTTTTTTTTTTTTTCTTTTTTCTCAACAACACATAATCCTTGGTTTATATACTTGATTAATAGTTTAGTGAAAATTGCACAAAAATCTTTGCAAGATTAACCTCGTAGGTCTGATTACGAACGTTTAATAAGCTTTCTCTCTTACCTCTCTCCAAACCTTTCCGCGAGAGAAAGCCCAAATCTATTTTTTTTATTTCCGATTTCTAATCGGACTAGTTTCTTTTGTTTAATTTCCGATCTTTTGTCGGCTTTCTTCTTCGGCTTAGTCGGATTTTTTGGTCGGATTACACTTTTCCAGGCTTAGCCGATTAGGGTTTGGGCTAAATATGTTAGTCAATCACTAATTGGTGACTAATGTTTACTCATTCTAATGTCTCAAAGGATGACTTGCATATCCGTTACAAGTTCGTAACTAACTAATTTGCAACAACATATTGGTCACAACATTGTCACAATAGTATTATCATCGCTTGTTCGTCATTAAATATAGCAAATCTTGGTTAAGATTTTTTACGCCACTATATTCTGACGGAATACTATGAAGTTGTGACAAATAAAATTAGTTATAATATCGTATCTACAATGTTACAAATTTGTGATGAAAATTTTGTCTCAAAACTACGTCTACTATATATATATATAAAGTGTTGTTCTCTGACTCTCAAAGGATTGAGAGAGATCTGATGAGAGAAGCTTTGAAGGAAGATGTTGAATGGTTCTCGGCATATCTTTACCCAAAACCAATAATAAAAGAACAAGCCCCTCATCTTCTCGGAAGACAAAATTTTGAAAAAAAAACTTGGACGCAGATATACCGACACGTGGCAGGATCTGGATTCGACCGTTGCTGCTTTGCTGGTTAACGTTTTTTCCCCTTTTAAAAATTTCTCAATTTGGATCTGTTTTAATTACACTCGTCGTCTCTTCTCGTGTTCTCTTTCTCTCGCTATCTTGGCTCATCATCGATCTCTTCCATGGGGATTTCTACAGAGACGCAGCAAAACGTAAGAAGAAATGACTAATTTTCTTGGTTCACGAATTTCCTCTTTCTTTGACCAAATTTAGGGTTTTGATCTTTATCTATCTCTCGTGTTACTTCCTTGTTCGTTTGTATTTTCTGTGCGTTGGTCTCTTTTAATGGAATTGATGATCTGGGATTCTCGATTTTCTTTGAGCCAGAAGAATCTCGTTTTGTTTGAATTCCATCTCCTTTTAGGAAAAATTGACCAATCCGAGGATTAGGGTTTTGGGATCTATGATTTTATCTTTTGATTCCTGTTCATAGTTGGATTTAAAGGATAGATCTTCGTTTCTGGCAAGTATAATTTGTATAGTTCGGTTTTAGATAACAGACGAATTGTGTTGTGAAAACTTGTTAGAATTTAGAGATGTGATTCAAGACAGATTGGTTTCTTATGATTATTTTTCGTTTTGATTTAAGTGTTTCTGAGAGGTAATTGGATTTCTATCTTTGTGATATTGTGTCAGGCGGCATCAGAGGCTGCACAAAAGAGATGGACTACAAGCTATTTCGACGTTGGAAAGCCTCTTGGTAGAGGGAAGTTTGGCCATGTTTATCTAGCAAGAGAGAAACGGGTTAGTGTGTCTTCTCAATTATGTTAAAGAATGAGAAGTAATTTGATGTCATTTTAACAAAGCTGATATATATATACATATTTGCAAACAGAGCAATCACATTGTGGCTCTTAAGGTTCTTTTTAAGACTCAGCTTCACCAATCTCAAGTTGAACACCAATTACGAAGGGAAGTAGAGATTCAGTCTCATCTTCGGCATCCCAATATTCTGCGACTCTACGGTTACTTCTATGATCAGGTGTTGTGTTATCTGTGTTTGTAAGAACTTCTTGTTGTCATACAATGTTTGTCTCTGTGAGGATAACATAGTTTTTGGTATATCATTTTTGTTTGCAGAAAAGAGTTTATTTGATTTTGGAGTATGCAGCTAGAGGTGAGCTTTATAAAGAGCTTCAGAAGTGCAAGTACTTTAGCGAACGTCGAGCAGCAACTGTAAGTTCTAGTGATAACTGACCTTATTCTACCATCTGAATCTGTGTAGTCTTTTCTATGCACAGTTCTTCTTGTAGACTAGTACGAGCTCATACCCTTTTGTTTATTGTGGCAGTATGTTGCATCATTGGCTAGAGCCCTCATCTATTGCCATGGAAAGCACGTTATTCACAGAGATATAAAGCCTGAAAATCTATTGATTGGTGCTCAGGTAACAAATTCATCTGGTTATCTTTCTCCATCAACGCCATGTGATTGAAGTTAGCTTATATGTTTATGTATTCATGGATATATGTTTTCAGGGTGAGCTCAAGATTGCAGATTTTGGATGGTCAGTACACACATTCAACCGTAGAAGGACTATGTGTGGCACTCTGGATTATCTTCCACCTGAGATGGGTAAGCGAAAACCTCTCCAGTGTGTTACTAAATTAGGCTCTTCTGCAACCACCTAGTTGACTTTTTTCTGCTGTTGGATTTGCAGTCGAAAGCGTAGAACACGATGCAAGTGTCGATATATGGAGTCTAGGAATTCTCTGCTACGAATTTCTTTATGGTGTCCCTCCTTTTGAGGCCAGGGAACATTCAGAGACATACAAAAGGTAACCTGTTCATTAAGCTTAGAATGGGATTAGTATAATGGTGTGGTTATGTATATTAAAGAACAGTTTTTGTTGTACAAATGCGCTACTACAGAATTGTTCAAGTGGATCTCAAGTTCCCTCCCAAACCCATTGTCTCTTCATACGCAAAGGACCTGATTAGCCAGGTTTCTACTCGCATTCCTCGTAAATCTCTCTTAAAGCTTTAGTTCATTTGAAGAGTGAATTCTGATATGTCACACTTTCTGATCAAACAGATGCTGGTTAAGGAGTCTACACAACGTTTGCCCTTGCACAAGCTTCTTGAACACCCATGGATTGTGCAAAACGCAGATCCATCAGGCCTCTACAGAGGTTGAAGCTCCATGCTTCCTTGCAGAGAGGAAAAAAAAGACTGCATTACTAAAAGAAATCTGACCAATTCATAGTCTATATATATAATCTAGCTGTGTTGCAAAAGTATTTGTACTATATCTGCCTACAAACTTTATAGCAACAAGATTCGTGTAACTTCACACCAATTAGTTTCAAATCTACATCACTTTTAAATAAATCGTTTGGAATGGTTTCAAACTTCAACCAGCTTTTGTGCATCGGTCGTGGCACTAATCATAGTTTTAGAACTTATTCACCAATTGATTGGTTGCACATTGTAAGATTAATGTTAACTGATGACAAATCCACTGGATTTGATCATATGATTTGAACATTTTTTTGTGTTATCAAGCCAAACGACAAATCTACTAGCATCTAGTGATATCTTTCCAGCAGAAAGATGCAAAGGCAAACGAATGAAAGATTTAACGAACTTGAACACAACAAGAGACACTCATGCAGTCAATCATTTTCCTTCAAAAGGTGGGTGACTGAGACAAGAATGAATAGTGTTATTTTTAATCTGTAAGACAAAGAAGAAGAATAATGCCTACTTAACCTCAAAAATTTAATTTGGTGTATCTTGTACTTAAATATGGTGGTGGAGTCTCAGAAAGCGTAGCGGTAGATGGCATCAGCAACACCATCTTGGTCGTTGCTCACACCGATCACATCAGCCACTGCCTTTGTCTTTTCTGCACCGTTGCTCAGAGCAATTCCCAACGAGGCCAGTTTCAGCATCTCTATGTCGTTTTCTCCATCTCCAATTGCCATTATCTGATAACAAAAATCCGATTTGCTCCATTAATTATCTTAGTTTTGAACACATCAAATCAAGCAAATTGAGTCTTGAAAGCTTGAGTTCAGGGGTGGACATTCAACCTTTTTTGTTTGACTTCTATACTTATGCCTACTTAAGCTTCTTTGAAATGCCGTAAAAAGATGCTAGATTATTACCTCATCCGGTGAAACGCCCAAATGATTGAGTAGCATTTTTACACCGTTCCCTTTGGAGGTTCCTGGTGGGACGATTTCTAGCATGTCTGATTGAGCTTGAACAACATTAGCACGATCGCCTGTAGCTTCTGACCAATACGGACGGATAACAGATGAGACCCCCTCGGTTGTGTCCATAAATATCACTTTCTTCGGATATACAAGAGAACCAGACATCAGTACTTTGGCTTATACAGATGTAAGAAAGTAAAATAAATGTTCTGACTCGGGAATTACCTGAATGTCAGCTTCAGCTATAAGTTGATCAACCGACGATATGATTTCAGCCTGTTGATACAAAACATGTAGAGATTATGCAGAAAGCTGTTAAAAACCATAACTAGACGGGGAGAGGGCGTACAGTTTCATTAACCTACCTTTGGCTCATTGTAGATTGTGTGAAGAGAGTCGACAAGAGGGTGGTCAAACAATGTCAAGCAGCGATCCTGGCTGAATGCAATGAGAGGAATTCGATGCTCCAAAGAGTAAAGACACGCCTGCATGTAACAAAACAACATTTTAGCATGTATAAAATAGAATTCCCAGAACTCAGATATTCAAGCACGATGCACAGGCATAATAAGTTGAAGACTATCATAGGTAGTTAAGTAGTCTTTTGCCGCTTCACATGGTAGAGAATTACATGATGCAAAGAGACTGGGTTCCAGAATTCTAATGCATGTTGTGAACTAAGCCGAGGGTGTGAGAATTAAGTCTGTGCTGATCGTTGTAGTCTAAATCCTAGGCGGATTTACCTCTCTGCAGACATCTCGGTCCAAGTTTCCTCTATAAACTTCTTTCCCCTGTCTACCATAGACAAGTAAGCCCTGTAATTAAACAGATATTTAGTGAGATTACATTGATATTGGTGCACCTCACTAGTCCCCTGATGTTAGAGGAAGTAAGAAACCTGAACGAAAACGCCTGGAGAGGACTCTGAGACAATGCCATCGGATCCAGTTAGATCAGCCGTCTTCAAGATTCTGATTGCACCTGGGCGGGACTGTAATAAATAGATAAAGTTAGGAATAGATCCTTTTGCTAAACATTAAGTCATTGTAAAACTGCTGTTTCCTCACCTTCCCCGTAGCTATGACTACTTTAAGTCCCCTCAGCATGGCTTCTTTTAAAGCTTTTGCATTTGCCTCCGAAATCTGACTTTTACTGTTAAGCAGTGTGCCTAGGAGAGTTAACATCAAAATCCCATGAGAAAGGGAAGAAAACCGAAACGAACAACTACACAATGTTAAATATGTAACCTTACCATCCATATCACAGAATATATAGGAGAACTTTGGTCTGTACAATCTTAGGCCATCCCCTTCCTTCCTGTCTTTTAACAGTAGTTTGTAAGTGTAAATGATTGTTACACAGTTGCTAACAAGTAAACACAGGAAAAATACCATCTGATTTCTCCAGCTGAGGTTTATCTGTTTTTTCAATGTCATATGCACTCTGAATGAGTCCTTTTCCTTTCCACCCAAGGCTTTTTAGCAATAACTCCTCCTCCTTCTCCATTTCTTGCTCAGCCTCATCGCTGATCTCATGATCAAAGCCCAGTAGGTGTAGCAACCCATGAATCTTTGTAAAATCATTAAGTTATCAGCAAATAGAGGCTACCACACAAATCATATGAAACCATTGCTTGAATAAAAAACAAAATTGGCTCCTGCCCTTCTTATATCTTCTAAACATTATGGAAACACATTACTGACTTCTTACATGGTTAATGGAACAACAAAGATCAAGAACTATACTTCTAAGCACGACAAAACTAAAGTGCACTCTTAGTAGTTCTAATCTACACCTATAAGGATCCACATTTCACTTCTACGTTTCGGTTAAAAAGTAAGTCAGTAACAGGTACCAACTCCACATCTATCAACCTTACCACAAGAATACGTATCTCATCAAGAAGAGTGTGCCCTCTCTCTGCAGCCTGCCTTGCAGCTGTCTCAACAGAAATGACAATATCTCCCATCATAAGCTACACGAAGAATAACCATAATGAGTAACCATTTGGAACCACACTATTAAAAACCAGTGAATCAAAAAACACAATCTTTACCACTGGAAGCTTCAATTCAGGGACATGTTGTGACATGGAAAGCACATCTGTAGCATGATCTTCACCTCTCCACTCTTTGTTGAGTTTACAAATGAAGTCATCATTACAAAGCATGACCGATAACTCGACAGTTTCATACCCACCAAGATCTTCTATATCAGTCTCTCTTGTTTTATACTTTGAATCTTTTAAACCATTGAAAGCCAATGTCATTGCCATAGGTACATTGAGACGAAGCATTTCCGCAATATTCTACATTTATTGAAATTTTATAAGAATCAACACAACTAGAATGACTAAATTGAATTATCAAAGAACAAACCTGAATCTCAAGATCATCAGGAAGCTGTTCTTCGATGCAGATACTAACACTAAGCTCCAATTCCTGTTTCTTCTTCGGAGTTCTTCTCCTAATCTTCCTATATTCTCTCCTCTCCGCGAAAACCCGACCCGGAGGTTTCGGAAGCTTCGTCCAGTCTCCTACGGTACTGCGTAAAGCGTGGAATCTCCGACGGAACATCGAAGAAAACTCCGACGAAGAAACATCGAGACGATTCAGAGGAGGAGTTCTCGGGGAAGAGCGTAGGAAGTTGGGTTGGAGGAGAAGGACAGTGGCGCGTGGCATTTCACGCGCTTCTGCAGAGAAGAGACGGTTATGGCGGAGGATTGGGCTGACACGAGAGAGCATTGGAGACGCGGAGGCGAGGGAAGGAAGGAAGGAGGAGGCGTTTCTGCAATTCTTCTGGCTTAAGAGTGGGTGATACAAACTAAATCGAACCGGGAATTTATTTGTTCAAATCTAAACCGAAATTGAGTCAAATCATGAACCGAATGGAAAGTTGCGGAATGACCAATATTGACCATGACCGAAATGAATTATGAGGACAATATGGAAAGAAGGGAATCAGTTATGTTTCACTAATGAAGTAATCATCATGAGGAAGTAGGAGGCACATAAAGTAATCATATCAAGGACGATTATCATCGTGAAGAGGCGCATAATGTAATAAAAGGGGGATTAGTGAAGCAAAGAAGTGGCAGGAGGGAGGAGGCTATGTTGAAGGAAACAAAATTGTTCTCGGTTCAGTTACCAATTCGTATCAAATGGGTATAAATTAAAGTGTAATGTTTTTTTTTTGGTGATTAATTAAAGTGTAATGTTGATGCTGATAGATTAGGAAATGTGTATTATTTCCAATTTTTTTATACATCTCAATAATTTTGGGAAAATTTTAAAAAGAAATTCATGTATTTTTATTTGGACGTTTAGTACTAATATTTTTAGTTGAAATAAAATATTTCGTCCAATTATTTGAGGGTTTAAAATATATCGTATAAAAACTAGAGTTAATTAGCTAGGAGACAACCCTTTTTGATGAAATAAAATTTTTGGTAATATAAGCTGGAGTCCAAAACAATAAAAATAATTAGCCCATCTTTATTCCAATTTTATCTCTACGCATCAGAGCAATCTGGTCCAAAAAATAGACCATTACATGAGATGATGTAGAGAATTTATGGCGTTTTCGAAGTAGTAAAGCGTATATGTCTCGTATGACTCTTAGTTACCATTATACATTTATGTATTTATATACATGTTTATTTATTAGCTATAAATATCTATATTTATAAATACACGTCAACTTGTTTATGTATAACTACATATACAGTGAGTCAGTCAACTATGACAACCCAAGGTTTTATTCATGTTCTTGTACTTGTTTTCGTGGAGACTGTCTCGGCCGCTCTTTCAGCAGTTGGTGATGGAACCAACCCAGAATCTGGAGTTGAGGATGTCTTTCGTGTAATTTATTTTGAAATTATACAAAATATAAGACCTAGATAGATAAGAGGAGATATATTATACATTCATATATTTATATGCATGTTCATTCATCAACCATAGATATCTATAATTATAAATGCATATATACTTGCTTATGTACTTTTACATATACAATGAGTTTTACTCATGTTGTTATTTGTTAACTATGTAGACGTATATATTAAAATGCGGATGTCTAAGTATATGTACATCTTATGTTGGACATGCACAGTTGGAAGTTCGGTGGTGGACCACGTAAGGATCATTTATTAGTTCAACTGGTATGCATTTATGAATTGTCAGAATGTTCTTTCGGTTACTCATAAGGCCGTGTTAGTACCGCCCACACACATGCATTTTACGAGCTCTGGTTTTTCTGTAATAAGTATTTAAACCAGACTCATTTTCACTAATTATCATTCCCTCGTCAGGGACAGCTAACCATAATGTCGAACTCCTAATTTATGTTTCCATTTTTCTTTTTACGCTAATTCACTCTAAAAATTATTGGTAGAATCAATTCAGAAGTTAACAGCCGTTAACGGGCGTGACGGAATTACTTTTGGTTTACCAAAAGCGAGTTCAGTTAGCATTTGAAACATATCTTTGGTTGATTTAAATTAGCATTTTTGAAATATCTAAACGAATACACATGCTTATGAGAAAAGATTTCTAAAAATCTAAATGACCAAAAAAACATGATTCTGTTGAATTCGATCTAACCAATAAAACTAATATCTAGGCCTGGGCATTCGGATTTCGGATCGGATTCGGATCGGATATATTCGGATTCGGATAATTCGGGTATGAGAGTTTATTATCCGTTCGGATTTTATGATTTTCGGTTCGGTTTCGGTTCGGATATATTCGGATTCGGATAATTTGGATAGGAAAATTTATTATCCGTTCGGATTTTATGAATCATCGGTTCGGTTTCGGTTCGGATAGGTGTCGGATTCGGATCGGTTTTCGGGAAAAAAAAAACTAAAAAGTTGTTCAATTTAAATAAAAACTGGTTTAATCTTACTAAAATTTGGTTAAATTTTACAAAATATGTATAATTTTAACAAATATAACTAAAAGTTTTCCAAAATCTAGGATATTTAGGATATTTTTGTTATTTGCTATAAAATTACTACTAAATATAACTAATATTTTTGGATATATAATTTTTATTTCCGGTTTTCGGATATCCTTTCGGTTTTCGGTTCGGATTGGGTTCGGTTCAGATAATTCGGATAGGAGAATTCATTCTCCGTTCGGATTTTGTGACTATTCGGTTCGGATTCGATTCCGGATTTTTCGGATCGGTTTCGGATCGGTTTTCGGATTTCGGATTTTATGTCCAGGCCTACTAATATCCTTTGCTTCTCCATCTCTCTCCCTCCTTTGAACAAGTCAAAATTGATTTTAATCCGTTTGATTTTCTTTGACTTTCCTTTGAAATTCTCTAGTCGAGAGCTTTCTCTATCCATCAATTTAGGGTTTTCGATTTCGTTTTCGAGCTTTTCTCGCTCTTCTCTCACTTTTTTCTTTCCTCTTTTGTCTCCTTTCTCCTTCTTCAATCTCCGCCATGACTCTCTTCTGTTTGATTCCGAAGTTCTCATGATCTGAGTGCTTAATCAGATCAAGATATCTATATATTTTTCTGCTTTGATCACCTCTGGTGTTTACGCGTTCTGTCATGGTGAGTACTCAACAACGCACGGACGATGGCTCTTCTCCACCGGTGGTAAAAGCTCTTAAGAGCTATGGAATCACGAAGCCACTTTCTATTGCTGGACCTTCTTCGGCTGATATTAAGCGTAATTTGGAACTAGAGAAGGTAGCTTCGTGTTTTTTTTTTCAAATTGTTTTCAGGACAATGTGATTTTGACTTGCGTTTTTGGCTGATTTATTGTGAAGTTTCTGGTTGATGAGGGGCTCTATGAGAGCAAGGAAGAAACTATGCGGAGAGAGGAAGTTCTGGTGCGCATTGATCAGGTGAATAAGCGCGTTTTGTTGACTACCTTCTCATGATGATGATAATGCGAAGAATTGTTCTCTCATTTTCTTTTCGTAGTGTTTAGGCTAAGACTTCTATATGGTAATTATGTAGTGTAGGCCTTCTATGTCTATTGGCTCAACTAACATATCTTTTTTTCCAAACTTTTTGTGTAGATTGTTAAACACTGGGTGAAACAGTTAACTCGTCAGAGGGGCTATACAGATCAGATGGTAGAGGATGCAAATGCTGTCATTTTCACTTTTGGATCTTACCGCCTTGGAGTAAGTTTAAGTTTTAGTTTAACTTTATCTTATCTGTTTAGCAAAAGGTTATGGCTAACTTGGATCATATATTTTCTGCTGAGCCTTGGGAATATCACTGAAATCAAGAGAAGTAGCATTGTATTCGTCTCTACATTACTTGTATTTGAGGGTGAAATTTTTTTATATTGTTGACTTGCAGGTTCACGGACCTAGGGCTGATATTGATACTTTGTGTGTTGGCCCATCTTATGTTAACCGAGAGGTAACTATTGAATTACATCTTGCTGATGTAAAGGTCTGGTGTGTAGTTTAGTTGCTAACAGGTTAATTTTATAGGAGGATTTCTTCATTATCTTGCGTGATATGTTGGCTGAAATGGAAGAAGTGACTGAAATTCAACCTGTTACTGATGCCCATGTCCCAGTCATGAAATTTAAGTTCCAAGGAATATCAATTGATCTTCTGTATGCTAGCATATCGCTTCTTGTTGTTCCACAGGTAACATCAGTATAGCCTTTTTCAGTTTTCGCTGAAACTTAGGGGGTATTTAATGATACCTATATGTTATCTTGGATTTCGTTTGGTGGGTTTTGGTGCTTGTATTGCATGTTGATGGTCACGTATAGTGTCATACACTTCCTGCAAAGGTGGTTGAGATATGAAAGAAACTTCTTTTTAGATATTGTTAGCTTTAGTGAACATGGAGATATGTAACTGCCGTGTTAACACCATCATGCTTGATTCATATATGAGTACTGAGCTGAGTTCTCGCCAAAGTCTATAAGTTCTTGCTAAGTCAGATCCCGTGTTTTTCTGGAATCAATTTATTAACAGGATCTGGATATCTCCAACTCCTCTGTGCTGTGTGACGTAGATGAACAAACTGTCCGCATTCTTAATGGTTGTAGGGTTGCTGATCAGATTCTTAAACTCGTTCCAAATTCCGAGGTAAAGTCGTTGAATGCCAATTGTTTTTGTTATAAACTAATGAATTATGTAAGCCATATCTGATGTTATGTGCAAATATAGCACTTCCGGACAACATTAAGATGCCTGAAGTACTGGGCTAAGAAGCGTGGAGTCTATTCAAATGTAAGGTGGTGTCTTTCTGAATATTACATCTGTTGACAATATTCTTTGGTTAAAAGCTTTTGTAATCTCTATTATATTGACCAGGTTACTGGATTTCTTGGTGGTGTAAACTGGGCACTTCTGGTTGCACGCCTGTGCCAGCTTTATCCAAATGCTATTCCTAGTATGTTGGTTTCTCGATTTTTTAGAGTATATACACAATGGCGCTGGCCGAATCCAGTCATGCTTTGTGCAATAGAAGAAGATGACCTTAGCTTTCCTGTCTGGGACCCACGAAAAAATCATCGTGACCGCTATCATCTTATGCCAATAATAACTCCTGCATACCCATGCATGAATTCTAGTTACAATGTCTCTCAAAACACTCTTCGTGTTATGACAGAGCAATTCCAGTTTGGCAACACAATCTGTCAGGTTAGGAAGCATAACACCCGATTTTGTTTATGAAAAGTTTACCCAGGATCTTGTTGCTAAGTAGATTTTTATATGCAGGAGATTGAGTTAAATAAACAACACTGGAGTTCCTTATTTGAGCAATATATGTTCTTTGAGGCATATAAAAACTACCTTCAGGTTGATGTACTAGCATTAGATGCCGAAGATTTATTGGCATGGAAAGGTTGGGTGGAGTCACGGTTCAGGCAACTGACCTTGAAGGTAGATAGCCTTATGTTCATTTGATTTTGAGGAGTAAATCTTCCGTGTCTTCATTGTGTTCTCTAATTTTTTACTGGTAGAATTGATTTAAGGGTTCTTCTTCTTCTCTTTTTAAAAATAATAATGCAGATAGAACGAGACACAAATGGGATGTTAATGTGCCACCCTCAACCAAATGAGTATGTAGACACTTCAAAACAGTTTCAACATTGTGCCTTTTTCATGGGCTTGCAGAGGGCAGAAGGATTTGGTGGCCAAGAATGTCAACAGTTTGATATACGTGGAACAGTGGACGAGTTCAGGCAAGAGGTAAACATGTATATGTTTTGGAGACCTGGGATGGATGTGTATGTTTCTCATGTTCGAAGACGGCAGCTTCCATCTTTTGTTTTTCCAAATGGATATAAAAGGCCTCGACAATCAAGGCACCAGAATCAACAATGCAGAGAACCTGGTGAGAAGGGCGCTGGTTCTTTGCCCGACTCTGTTGAGAGATATACGAAGAGAAAGAACGATAATGAAACTATGGATATCAGGCCAGAGAAACATGAGAAGCGTGCATCTCGTAGTCCACATAGTCTGGATGCAGTTTCTCTTGACAGCAGTGGTATCACTACTGGTGGGACTACTCAGATTGGCATTGCGCCAGGTCCTAGGGCTGAATGCTTAGTAACTGGTGATCTTGTTTGCAATGTTAGAAGTCTTCCTAACGTGGAAGTTGAGGCTGAAAAATTTATCAGTGAAAGCACGGAACTCATAAAATTTTCTCAATATGAGAATAACTCTGGTAGCGAGCAAATCCTGGAAGTAGATAGTAGGGCTCTAGTTCAAGGTTATCATGGCCTGGCTGAGCCTATAGGAAAACATGTGAGACCTGACCCTCGTGCTGTGCTAGCATGTGAAGGTTGGCAGAATAAAGAAATAGGTCGTGATATGGGCTCTGAATCTATTAATGACACTGACACGCAACATCTTCCAAGGCGACTTAATGTAAAAGAAGATGTTGATGAAGTTGAGAGGGAAGCCAAGTCGGGAGAAATTGCTGATGGTGTTTTGTGGAATGGATACTGTGGACGGAACCTTGATCATGAGGTGAGTTTTTGCTGTTCGATGATAATATTGTAAACAAATTGGCGAAATGTCTTGAACGTACTGGGTTGTTAGTGATCATGGGTTGTTAGTGATCATGGGTTGTTACAGGGTTTTTTGACTCCTGCAAATTTGGATTCAGCTGTGGAACATAGAAACTTGCATGCAGACAGATTGTTCAAAAGTGGCTTGTCAGAAGAACTTCAGGTTTTTAATTCACACTCACTGCATGACATATTGAAGGGTGATCTTGTGCTTTATTTTTTGAATCAAGAAATATGAGATAACTAGCTGAAATTAGAATGTTGTGCTATTTAAGTGATCAATTTTATGCTCTTTCTTTTTCTGAAATATTTCCATCAGTTTTCATTGCCAGGTCCTGCACTGCCATTCTTTGTTCTGTATTATTTCATACTTTTTGAAACTAGGTTTTTTTCTCTTTCCAGATCACTTCTGACTTGTCTCCTTGTATATATTTGTGTCTTAGTCAAATCCTTTGCTCAGCGGGATGGGGAAGCTGGACGATGGAGCTAGGTCAGAATCTTTGCAGAATGCAATGATGAGGCATGTGTTTTTGCAACCCATTACTGCTTTTTGCCAATCATGATCTCTTTATGCTCTTGTTTTGGTTTTCTTGGTACTTTTTATAGCAGCAGGAGGTTGAGCTTGAAGTCCATAGTGTGAGCGAGGTCTCCGCAATTGTAGTGAGAACCGGAAGTAAAGAAAAAGGAAAAAGTAAAAAAAAAAAACACAAAAATAAATAACAAGAATCAGAGCAACCTAGTGTTTGCTGTGGATGACAGCTTCAGAACTCGACACTATTGGTAAGTTCACCTAAATATGAGAACTAAAAGCTTATAAAGGAAAATAAAAGTTGTCAAAAATCCAAAAAAAAAAAAGATAGAAGAAAAGAAAAAAGATAACAACTTTCAAATGATTTAATTGTTGGATTCTTGGTGGGATTGTGAGTATCCATCCAAACTTTGGGAAGAATGAGCATGAATAACGAGTTTGGGACAAGACATGCATTGTTCAATAACTATGCTCCAGGTGAAATGTGGAGCTGTGCTAGTTCAATGCTTGTCTGAGAGAGATACAAAATTAAAAAGTAGAAACCAGTGAGATCACCATAGAACAAGGCAAGTGTAATGTATCTGTCTGCCTATTCTGGTTATTTCAGACTTGTTTCTGTATTTTGTATGCTTTGAGATTTGGGATCTTTCAATGTTATATGATTCTGTACATCAAATCATCTCCTGCTTTTTGCTGCTAGTTGTTAATTACTAAAGTTTGCGTGAGGTTTATGTAAAAAGTTGAGAGATATAGAAAAAAGTTTATCTATGGATTACGATGACTTTTTCGTTTGACACCAAACTAATCACCAAATTGTATCTGAACTTTGTTCTTTCTCTGGTTTATGCAAGTAGCTGTTACTAAGATAATTGAATTGATCACTGGAATTCTTAGTATGATTGTATCATATTGAAACTGAACACGACTAATTCAGCATTTTTAATTTCCATTGAATTGGTTAATGATTGTGTAAGAAATGAGTGCACATATCTGTTTAGAGCAAGGTTGATCAATATTGTAATTGCAAAAAAATAATAATAATACCTCAAGAATCAATAAATATTTCGCAAATTTCAAAAACGCCGACCTTATTAGTGGCACTATCTCCTCTGATAGAATCCCATAGCTTGGTGCATATTGCGCATTGTGACATCTCCTAATTCCGCCGCTCTATCCGCACCTTCTGACAATACTTTGTCCAAATACGCTGGTTCCGCTATTATCTCCTGATAACGGGCCTGACACGAAAAACATATACGAAATCAAATTCTGTATCACATTAACTTATGCACATGAAAAATGCCCTTCTAGCCATTTACTTATGGAAACTGCAAAAACATCGATGAAATGGAACTGACACACTCAAAGAAATGTATATTGATTCAAACTTTTGACTTCACAAACCTGGATAGGACTCAAATGTTCAATCAAAGCATCTGCAAGGAGAGGCTTAAATGTACCCCAGCTCATATCTTTGCATTCCTCCGTCACTTCCTGCAATCGATTAAAAAAGTGTTCACCGGATTATATTTTAAGTAACTATTGTGGTCGAGGGAGTAAGTGACATGTGAAAGCATCTCTGTGACTCAAGTCTTTAGAGACAAACCATTATCTCTTTCTCCATACCTCTTTTGTCTTGCCCGAAACAATCTGATATACTGAAAGGAGATTTTTGCATTCAGGTCTCTCAGCATTGTCAAATTCAAGGCTGTTGGAACAACAAGAAGCAGAAGCTTTCAATATTGGATATCTCAATTTGAAAGCTAAAATGGTAACAAGAAAAATTAAAAAAAACTTGTGCATTGCAAGGAAAAAACCGACATAATTAGCACTCACCCTGCAAATGAGTCTGTCTTGCACCGTTTGATCTTGTCCACAATCAGCTACACAATTTTCAGGAGGGATGAAAAATGGATTAAAGTAGCAGAACAAGAACACGTACAACGAACATGAAAAAAATGCTATTTCGAAAGCCTTACAAACATCAGTGAGTTCATTTTACTTACATCTTTTGAGTCAAGGAGATTGATCCGGGATTGATCAGAAGGTGCGGACTTGGACATCTACAAGATTACATGACAGTAAGACGTCAGCGACAAGTCAGAACCATTTGAGAATAACAATAAGCAGGCCAAAATATTGGATTATTTCAATATGGTCTTCTGAAATCGACCGATGGAAAGATCTATCCAGACCAATTAGGGATACTAGAAAGAAACAGACTAGCTAGTAGTAAAAGTCTATTCGATGTTAAAGAACATTAAGGATTATCTCAATATATTTCCAATAGGATTTGAGAACGCTATTCATCTTCTCTAAAATTTTATTTATATAAGACCAATTGTGATGCAACTGCTGAATGCAGAAAGAAAATTAATTTACAAGAAACCTTAAAGTAGCTGTGAATGAAAACATTATACCTTGGAAAGACCATCGGTAAGAGACATAACACGGGCTCCAGCTTGTGGTATGAGTGGTTCTGGTATCTACAAAGAGGATAAATTTATAGAACGATTAACCATCTCTGACAAACCTAGAAAGCCACACAATGAGGATAGGCAAAGCAATTGGAAAGTCTCACCTTAAAGAGCGAACCACCGCGCCTGGAAATGAAAATCGACAATGTTGTACGGATGAGGGGATACAAATGAAGGGGAAATTAAGCCATTACGAAACATGAAAAGCATAGATCATAAGGACTTGTTTGAATGGTATACTTAACATACTAAAATGCACAAAAAAAAGTTCTATACCCTCCAAGCTTCTTCCACTTTCTTCCACCATATAAATGATTCACACGCTGAGCGATTTCACGGGCAAGTTCTATGTGCTGCTTCTGGTCCTCGCCAACAGGGACAAAATCAGACTGCAGAGGCATGTGGCAGAGAACCAAACAATTCAGAAAAATGGTCATCCCGCGTGCAATCAGCAGGTATTTTACATGCAATTTTTAACAGGACAGTGAAACAACCCCTAATAAGATCACCGAATAAATCTTACATGAGCTTAGCTATCTAAGATTATTATTTTGTGTTCCTTTTCATTACAATAATTGCAGCACACTAAACCACTTTAAAGTATCACCTGATACAATAGAATATCAGCAGTCATCAGATCAGGATAAGTAAACAAAGCGACACTAGCATCCTCAGCCCCCTGCCAAAAAAGGACGAAAATGGAATCAGTAAACAGAATTCTAAATGTATACAGTCTCATAATAGACACAACTATGCAATTATTATTATCATCAGGTTTATGCAGCAGAAAGACTAAAGTTGACTATGCTGTTCTTATGTCCAATACATTAGAAGATTACATATGTTATTTAACTAGTAACACAGAGAAATCAACAACAAAACTTAAAAGTATTAGGCAGATTTCCCTGTTTTGTTTATTTGAAGCACATAATAATGAAAGAGAATAATGTGATAAGATCATGAAGCAACCATATACGCACCTCCTTGCGTGATTTCTCTTTAAATTGAGTCATTTTCTGTAACCAACCAATAGGCGTGGATGCAGATAAAAGCCACATTAACTGCGTATGAGCGGGGACGTGAGATTGCACAAATACCGAAGCCTTAGAAACGTCTATACCACATGCTAGGTAAAGTGCTGCGGTATCCGTTGTTGCCTTTCCTAGTTTATGTGTATCATATCGAAGTGTTATCTACATAAATCAAGAAAGATATAAATAAACACTGCAAGAGAAATATCACCCAAGCAAACATTTGAAAGGTAGATAATTCATACCGCATGACAGTCTACGATGATAAAGAGTGTTTCATATGTATCCTGCAAAAATATAAACACAACGCCTGAACAAAAAAATATAAAACTGAATCCTTTTCTTTAAAAAGTGATTAATTTTGCAAATGTCTCATACATTGATGAATGAGGAAGTCATTAGAAACCAGAAACACTCACAAAGCCTTTACCTTTACAACAAACTGAATCCATATCTTAAAGCCGTAAACTTTACCAGAAACCATCTAAAGTGATAAACTTTGCAAATGCCTGATACCAATCGTGAATAGCATACATTTTAAAGAATGGAAAAAAAGAGAAAGAACCTGAAGAGCGACCCAATTTTTGATAGCGCCGAGATAGTTTCCTAAGTGAATTGAACCTGTAGGCTGGACACCAGAGACCACACGTTTCCTGTCATCAGGAGAATCAAAATTCAACACAGAATGCAGACCTAAGTGATTGCAACTAGAAGCAGGTAAAGGTTATTACTTTACAGAAGGAGAAGGGTCTTCTGTGGCGGCGGAGCAACAGCATCGGAACCCTTGTCCGGTGACCGGAAAGGGAGAAAAAGAGCCGGAGAGAGGAGTGGGTTTTGTGAGGAATCTAGTGCGAGACCCGAGACGAGAGAGCCTGGAGGAAGAGAGGATGAGGAAGTGAGAGAGAGTTGTTGCGTGCCCCATTCTCGTCTTCTTGCTCTCACTCGGAGAAAAGATTGGGTTTATAAATAAAGGAAGGGGTTTTTGAGCTCGTGAGGTTAACAACAACAGTGTCAAAGTTAAAAAATCAAGAAGGCCTTAATAAAAAAAAATCACAATCGCTTACCTCTCCAAGCAAAAACAGTTCACTCACTTATCCTATTTTTTAGTGAAATTTTGTTTTACCATACCCCTTCTATTTTATCAATGTTTTATGAATTCACTTATCCTATTTTTTAGTGAAAATTTGTTTTACCATATCCCTTCTATTATATCAATGATTTATGAATTCTCTTAAAATATACTAGATTTTAACCCGCGGTATACCGCGGAACGATTTATTTTTAAAATTAATAATCTTATAAAATTATTAAGTAACGGTATACCACTGCATAATTTTTGTTTTATACAATTTTATTTTAATCAGGATCATCCGATATGTCTAATATTGGTGGTGTTAAAAATAATAAAATGAAGATTTAACCCGTATTGAAGCAACGGGTTAAAGATGTTTTAAATTTTTTTATTCAAACTTGTCCCGTCATATAACCATGTCCTGCAATATAACCGTCTCGTGTTATTTTAACTCTTTATATATGTTCAAATGTTCTTAATATTATAAAAATTTTATTGATTTTAAATATATAAATTATAATATTGAAAAATTCTTAAAAACTCATCACGCCATATAACTCCGTCTCACAATATAATTCGTCCCGTGTTATTGTAACTCTTTATATATGTTCAAATATTTATAATATTATAAACTTTTTATTGATTTTATATATATGAATTATATTATTTATAACTTTTTAAAAGTCTAAAATTTAATATTTCCGGTAAAATTAAGCAGTTAAACTAAAAATCGAATTAAACGGTATACAAACTTTTAAATTTGGATGTTTGTTAAGTTAAGCTTCATGTTCATTCGGATTTTATTTCATTTTGATTATATTTATAATATGATTCTGAATCATTGTCTAAACATTTTAGCCAATATGGGACCTTGAATACACACTTTTTATCAATGGGGTAATATATATCTGTTTTCTAAATTTTGAATCACAATATATGCAGAGAAAATAATTGAGATTTTTTGAACTTTATGTATTATAGATGATTCAAAATAGCTAAAAGAAAGTTCAAACAAAGATGATAGGATAATCGTAATTTTAAATCTTAACAAAATCTTTTAAATATCTATATCTTTAAACATGGAATATCCGGTTCATAATTTCGGATATGACCCGATCCAAATAAAAATATATATGGAATATCCGGTATAAAATTTTGAAGTAAATTTTGTATCGGATCGGGTACCAAAAATCTCGAATAAATTTTTAACCCATCCGATACAAAATGTACATCAAAAATACTAGTATAGATTTCGTTGTCATGGAGAGGAGTTATACTAGAACTAGTTGATTTGATAAAAAAAGATAAATGACACACCGTAAACAAATCCATAAAAATGGCAAAATGTAGACTGATGTAACAGCAAAATGTAGGTAAACAAATCCAAATAAATGGCAAAATAATGATTTATAAATTCTCGTACAAGTTTATTTTAAAGTAACAGCTCACATCAAAAGATTTTAGGTTGTAACTTTTATTTTCTAAATAAAGGTGTGATTTTTTAAAAAAATATGAAAGTTTTAAGGGTGATTGGCAAGGGACTTTCAAGACTTCACTTAGGCCATGAATGGTTGTCAGTTTTTAAATAGTTATTAGATTATAGATTTTGATTTTTGGATTTTAGATTTTTGTTTTTGGTTTTTGGATTTTACAAAAATAAAAGATATAGAAAAAAAAAAAAAAGAATGTTACGTTAAGAATTTGTTTAGAAAAGGTGAAAAACTAAAATAAAGTGGATTTTGGATGCTTACCAAAAAAAAAGTGGATTTTGGATTTTCTTTGAAAATTGTCAAAATCTTGCAAAAACTAACCATTTTGATAAAACTTTGAATGGGTGAAAAATGAGTTTTTCAAAAACAAAAACCAAAAACCATTACAAAAACTAGTAAGCATTCAAGGCCTTATAGTCTCCACATCTATTTTTTTAGGGGGATTAGCAAAAATACCCCTTTTCTCATGCCCATTTTCAAAAATGCCCCTTTTAGATGTCCATTTTCAAAAATGCCCCTTTTTAAATCTGAAATTTTTATAAAGTTTTATTAGGTTTATAAGGTACTTATGGATTGTAACTATTACTTGAAGACTCGATCCAAGTATTTATAAGGTTTTATAAGGGGTTTTTAAAGGTTTTACAAGTTATTTTAAAGGATTTTTAAGGTTTTTCAAAGGTTTTACAAGATATTTTAAAGGTTTTTAAAGGTATTTAAAATGCATTTATAAAGTATTTATAAAGTATTTATAAGATTTTAGATACATAGAAATGTAGTTTGTGTATGTTTTAATAATATTACATACATATTTGGGTAAATCTTATATTTTTAAGAGCTTTTTTTATAAGGTTTTTAAAAAGGGGTATTTTTGAAAAGTGGCATTGAAAAAGTGGCATTATTAACAATTTCCCATTTTTTTAACCAATTAGACTCTTAAGACTTCGTTAAATTTTAAATTCCTTAAAGTCTCTCTTTTCAATTTTACTATTCTTTTTCAGTATTTTTTTTTAAAATCTCATCAACCAGACTTTAACTTTGAGAAACAAAATAGTAAAACCAAAACTTTCTTCTTTCACCCAATAATTTGAAAACTCATTTTAAAACTAGAATCAATTATGAGAAAGCCACTTTTGGGAGTGGCATTTGTTGGTTTTGCCACTTTCCAAATAGTTTGTAGATTTACCATTTTCAGTCGATCAAAAATACGATTTAGCATGTGTTTTATCCCTTATATTTGGGTTTAGTCGGTTCCATTTGTTCTTAGGGTTTAGTATTTAGTATAAATTACGTATTGTTTTGGGAAAAAATCATAAATACTTAAATTTCTAAGTGTTAAAATGGCAAATCCGTAAGATTTTAATAAAAATAGCATTTTCGTTAGATTTTCCAAAAAATGGCATATTCTACAATAATCCCTTAAAACTATTCTAATTTTATTAGTAAATAGTTTGGATTGATAATTTTAATTTTCTTTTTTTTCTTTTCCTTTGAGATCCAAGTTAAATGTTTAAAATGGTGAATTTATTTCCCCTGTTTGAGAAATTGTTAGAAATGTATTTTTTATACCCTTTTTGGCTATTGTCATTTATGCCCTCTTTTAATTTTTAGTGACTATTTTATCCCTACTCGAAATATATTGAAGTCAACAAAATGAAAAAGTGCATTTTCCCGCTAAAAAAGTTCTTGGAAAAAAAATCCAACGAAGATTTTTCCGCCAAAAATAAACTGATCCCATAATTTTTGGCGGGAAACGTAATCCCGGAAATTTTTGCGGGATATGGGATTTACAAGGCTTTTAAAAGGGTTTTAAAAAGATTTACAAGAATTTTAAAGGGTTTTGAAAGGATTTACAAAGATTTTAAAAGATTTTATAAAGATTTACAAGGGTTTTAAAAGGATTTACAAGTGTTTTAAAAGATTTTAAAATGATTTAAAAGAGTTTTTAAAGGGTTTTAAAAGGATTTACAAGTGTTTTAAAACTTTTTATAAAAGTTTTTCAAGGGTTTTAAAAATATTAAAAAAGATTTACAAGGGTTTTAAAAATATTTTATAAGAGTTTGCAAAGGGTTTTAAAGGGTTTTTTTTTTTATAAAAATTTACAGTGATTTTTAAAAGATTTACAAGGATTTTAAAAGAATTTTATAATGATTTTAAATAAATTTACAAGAGTTTTAAAATATTTACTAGGGTTTTAAAAGTATTTTATAAAGGTTTTTAAAAGACTAGCATTGATGCGAGAGAGTACTTCGGTAGTGGAAACACGATGATTAAATCGTTGACTTTCAAAACATCAAAAAGTAGAACCTCTCCGACATTTGGAAATGTGTTTGGTAGAGATCTTACAGAATTCGTACTTGAAAGCCAAGGTTGTGCTATTGTTGGGTTCCATGGACGGTCTTCTCCTGATGCTATTAATGCTCTCGGAGCATATTTTTTTCGATCCCTCCTTCTCATGATGGGTAAAAACTGGAAGCACAAGGTGGTGATAGTGGTTTGGGCGGTGTTTAATCAAGTTCTTTTACTAATCTCCTTTATATCTTGCGCTCCACTATGTATTCTCTCTTCTGTATGTTTTGGTTTGTCTTTCTCAATCTCATTTTATGAGACATGTTTTTCTAAGAAATAATATAATCCCATGCTCCTTTATTACAACAATTGTGAGATTATATTTCCTAAGCAACACAAAAGGTTTGGTGGCACATAACCGATTAAGACTACAAAGCTTTAGAAAAACTACAAGGCCTCGATTTTAATCCCTCTTTGGTTGTATTTTAACTGATAGAGGATATACATATAACAAGTTTGCCAGCTTTTATGCATATAAACGATATTCCCCAAAAATATAGCTAAAATTAACTATAGATTTTACTTGAATTCAAAATAGATTTTACTCACCAAGTGTCGTTAGCTCAACTGGTAAAGACCCTAGGCGAAGCTTAGAGGTCGCCAGTTCGAGTGACGCTTGGGACGAAACTAATTAATATTACATGTTGTGGTTTTGGGCCCGGGAGGATTACGGGTTTTGGCCCAAAACCTCCTGGTATTCAAAAAAAAAAAAAAAAAAAAAGGATTTTACTCTTATACGAGAGATCTGACAAAATAATTAATCCAAGCGTTGAGAGTTTTTTGTTTTTGTTTCTTTAATGAAATGCAATAGACGTGGGTTCCATTTCATGCATGATGCACGCCTATTTGTCGAATTGGGAATCTTATAAAAAGAAATAGCTGTGGGACGACTTCATATAGTCTTTTAGAAATATGATTTCATATTAAAATTTTATAGACTCTATTCTAAATCTCATTTCATGTTTTGAGATGGTATTCATAACTATCGAAAGTGGTGTCATTAATAGTTTGTAAGAACAAGTAAAAACTTGTAAATAAGATACACTTT